TATGTTGCTACGAACCTTCGACCGTTGACACCATTCAGCGTTGATAAAATTATTTATTCCAGCAAACATCAGAAAGACATAGACAGACATTGGAATGAAATTAATCCAGTCGAGTTAGGTGGCTTTCTCGTTGCTAAGCGATAAGATTATGCAAATGACACAGCTAGCGGTATGCTGCAAGGAAATTGATTTCAAATAAAATAAATAGCTGAACGGTAAAATAATAAACGCATTGCGTGATTCAGTCCGCTCCTGAGCAGTGAGACATGACTTAAAGAGATATAATTATAGAGGGACGGCGACGCGTAGGCCGCTGGGCGACCGGCGTGCTCGCGCGGTAACTAGTCAACGGAGCGCAGTACAAACAGGACAAGGGGGCACCACACTATCTCATGCACTGATGGGACAATCCTACTAATATTATTAGCGACCGCCCGCAACCTTCGTCTGCGTCAATTTTAGTTTTTTGAGATATCGACAGGAACCTTAAAAAAAACCGAGATAAAAAGAATCCTGTCTCAATCCAGGTCATACCAGGCCATGAACAGGTATATGCGTACCAAAGGAGATGTTTCATATTTGTATGGGATTTCGGCTCGGTCTTGTACATAATGGACAAATAAATGAAATCGAGAGCATAGGTGACTCCGACCATTACAATTTCCACATTTTGCTTTATTTTGCGACATTTAATGTCAGTTGGGCGTATGCCAAGTCTAAAAAACTTAACGTTACTGTCAGTCATGTGACAACTATGGTCAAGTGTTAACAGTTCAGAAATACAATAACAATAGCACAGTACTCAACTAAAAATGTATATATAATAATAATAATTTGTTTTCTCCCAAAACTTAACTAAAATACAGACTTATGACTCTAAACATTGTGGGAGACAGGAGTCTGAAATAGGTAAACCCCGTGCAAGGGACCTGGTCCCCACCTCTCGGAACATTGTATATGTTGCAATTCAATATATAGATAAGTATAAAACCATGCTTAAGATATAAATAGACTCATAAAATTTACACATACTATCAATGATATTACATAATATCGACAGGTCTGGCGATTTCTTGATCGAGAACGGAATAAATTTTGTTTTGCTAGCATTGAGTGTCTAAAAGTTTTCTACTTACCAGTGGCAAACCGTGTCAAAGCCTTTTGTGCCCTATCAAAGACTTCCTTTCAATTGTCAGCGTAGAAAGTCAAAGTCATATCATCAGCATAAGATATAACTTTGCCATTTTCAAAGGACAATGGGCAAAACGCACCCAGCTCCGCCAACAATGTAATTAGTATGAATCGATAGATCTATGAAAAACTAGCCTTTTTTATTATGGCACCAAAAAAAAAATAACCTGGGGGTCAAAAGATATACACCTAGGTATGTTCTATATTAGGGGTTAAGGTTTCCGCACATAGTCCTTATAGACGACCTTTGTGTGTAAGTCATGGGGACCGGTTACACACGGGCATATTTAAATAGCTCCTTATAGAAAAGCTCGATGGCGCAGGTGGTTAGCGCGTTCGGTTGCGATCGTTGAAGTTAAGCAACTTCCGCAGTGGTCGGTCATTGGATGGGTGACCAAAAACATCTATCTCGAGTTCCTCCGTGCTTCGGAAGGCACGTTAAGCCGTTGGTCCCGGCTGCATCTGCAGTCGTTAGCACCCGCCAATCCGCACTGGGCCCGCGTGGTGGGTCATGGCCCAATCTCCCTATTTCATCCATAGGGAAGGCCTGTGCCCCAGCAGTGGGGACATTAATAGGCCGATGATGATGATATTTAAATAGCTAAAGAAATTCATTCAATATCAATAGTACTTTCGTTTTATAATATTAGCAATAATAAGTGAGTGAATCATATCTTACTGTACAACCAGATACAAAATACTAAACAACAAAGCCTACACTAACACGCTTTAGAAATAGGAACACGATTATCATCGCGTACGTCATTATAATCGTACGAGCTAATAAAAAATCTATGGATCAATTTAAATGCTCGTACTCAGCACACAAACATCTGCCCCCACCAGGATTCGAACCCGGGACCTCTCGAGCCAGCGACACCATGAAACCCGGCGTACAAACCACTCGACTCGGATATATTAATTGACGACCTCCGTGGTCGTCAATTAATATATCCGTTCTATATACTCGTCCTTGTATCTTTAAATATTATGTTCGTTATAGTTACTTTTACCTATGGAATTGTACCTATTTAACTTAAAATAACTAAAGACTCCCGGGATGGAATTTGATGCGCTTTGGCACAAATGATCATAACTATGATACCTTTCAAACAAATGTAGTTTAAGCCGTGGCGGACGTGGGTGCAGTGTCCATGCAATTTTGCCCATTGTCCTTTAAGTTGACAGAGGTCATTGATATAGCAGAGAAAAAAAGTAGGACCCGCTACACTACCCTGAGGTACACCAAAAGAGATGGGAACATCATCACTCATCACACTACCTATTTTAACGTGCTGATTTCGATTTTGCATGTAGTTGTTTAGTAAAAGCAGCTGATATTCCCTAATTCCCATACCCTCAAAAGCTAGCTTCAAAAATAGCTTAGAAATTTAAATCGCATAAAATGCTTTAGCTAAATCTAGGAATACGTGGGACACTCAGAAAGTTTTGAGAAACTTTAAAACAAACTTTGAAAAAAATATTTTTATTAAATCTTTTCAAAGAACTCTCCACTAGCCTCTATACAATGTTTCATGCATCTGAACCAATTTTCAAAACATTTTTTCAAGTCCTCCGCAGACACCTCTTCCATGGCCTCCTCAAACGCTGCTAGCGCTTCTTCCGGCGATGAAAACTGTATCCCTTTGAGCAGTTATTTTATTTTAGGGAATAAAAACAAGTCACTCGGAGCCAAATCAGGACTGTAAGGAGGGTGTACCAAGACTCTGACTGGTGTGGAGTCCAGGAAGTCCTTCGTTTTGATCGCACAGTGCGCGGGCGCGTTGTTGTGATGAAGAAGGACCGCGCGGAGCCCGGTGTTAGGTTGCTTGTTGCTCATTGCAGAAAAATCTTCTGGCATGCTTTTTGTGCTATACCATGCGTTGATGCTGCTTTGGTCTCGAAGTGGAATTGAAATTAGGTACCCCGTCAAAGTGAAGAAAGTAGCGATCAAAATTTTCCTTGCGCTCCTCGATCGCTTAATTTTCGTGGCGCTCGTTCATTTTTTATCAGCCAAACTGTCGACTGACGTTTTATTTTTGGATCGTATTGATAAATCCAGGATTCGTCACCTGTCACAATATCGTAAACGCTGTGACGAGTCTGCATAAAATTTTTGTATCATATCACTGCACACGGGCCTGCTTCTGAGCTTCGGTGAGGTTGTGCGGCGGCACCCAGCGGGAAACTATCCTCCTTACGCAAAGGTGCTCGTGAAAAATCTTGTGAACACTTCCTGAACCAATCTGCAGAGTATGCTGAATCTCTTCGTACGTAATTCGTCTGTTTTCTTGAATACATTTTTTTACCGCCAGCACACTCTCTTCGGTGACAGTCGTCTTTGGACAACCACTCCTTTGTTCATCCCCCAAAGTAAGATGACGGCGTTTAAACTCGCTACACCAGCAGTAGATGGTTGCTTTTGATGGTCCTTCATCCATAAAAGCAGTTCGAAATCAATCAAATGACTCATCAGGTTATAAGCTACATTTAAAATCGTAAAAAATCATAGCATGAAAATGTTCTCGATGCAAATCCATTTTTAATGACACAAGAAATTTAATTGGTTCTCGAAAAAAAGATCGTATAATGTTTCTATGTTATATGTATAAACCCGATAAAAATAAATACTTTAATATAAAATTTACACTATTTTCGTTACTTTGTTTATTTTTCATGCTAGATTAGACTGACCCATATTTGAATAGTAAGTATTATATCGCCATGGCTACTCCCTTCCGTGTTGGTCTATGGACAATGGAAAATGTTTGCGAACGCTTATTAATAGGGATCATGGTCACATGCTAGGCAGGGAACTTTAAAAATTATTGGTATAAATAAATTAATTTCTTTACTCTTGTACAGTTTCCTTTTTTTATCCTAACCATAGGACCTTGCTGGTTGAATGTCTGGCAAAAATATGTATTGAAAATCATATTGTAGCATTGTTGCATGTGGCGTGTACAACCATGCTATGAAAATAGCAAAAACTACATAATTAATTATGTGGTTATTTGGTATATGGTTGTGCACAGTACAGCTATAGGAAACTATGAGCAGAAAACATTAACTAAACTACGCTGATGATTTAATTTGTAATCATTCAATTTTATAAGCAGTAAGGTATTGCTTAATAAAAAGAAAGATTATATTTTTTTTAAGTCGAATAGAATATGGTTAATGCCAACGGACGATTAATCAGAGCTAGTTATGAGCTTCTTCACCGAATTTTATTTATCAGTGAAGGCTCTGTTAGCGAGCAAATTAGCTATTCAAAATGCAAAACGGAGTCCTCGTTAAAAACAGCTCATTGTCACCGTAGCGGAGGGAACGACACGACGCGACGCAAGCAAGGGGGAGGAAGAGGGGTAAACGGGTGATGCGCCGATTTCACCGAATAAGATTAATAAATGCACGCGGCGTGGCGCGGGGCGGCGGCGTTCGCGGCTAATGACACGCGCCGCTGCAGATTTTTTTTATCGCGAATTTAAAACATAAACTGGTTGCGGCGGTAGCAGGCACCCCCCCTCCCCCCGGCACCCGTCAGGCGTGCACCTCTGCATAGTTCACCGCTCCTGCTGCTGCGCACGCGGCTCTCGACACCTTTCGCCAGACCTTGCTAGTCCACTTGAGATTCGGTGACCTAGTCTTTTATGGAAACATTCAACTTAACGTCTTAATGAATTGCGAAACACGAAGTATGTTAATATATTTTTTTAATGTGTGAAACTTGCTCGCTCAGCTCGATTGACGTGAGCTATTAATTATGTTGCTAAGGTGATCTTGGTCTAATGAAAATGTTTAATAAGTTATGAGTCGTCTTCGTCAGTTGTAAGCTAACGTTGTAATCGCGTTGATGTCTTTTGTATGGACAGCACGGCGGACACTCCTGCGCATCTAATTGTGTGTCGTTCGTTACCTAGAATTCTATATCGAGTACGACGAGTTGCATTCTGACAGCTGTCAGTACGGCCGCCCGCGAGCCTAGACGCAGGGCAAGGGACCGGTTATCGCTAATGTTTCACGGAAAGCTGGCTGATTTCTCGCAGGTTTTCCATCAACGTCGCGGTGATATCGACCGGGAGACAATAAATCCGGTTCTGCAGCGGGCGGGTTGCAATTAAACTAGTGTCGCGACTGGGTTCGCGGACCGTGCGAAAGTGAAGCACTCGCCGACGAGGCCGGGTACGGAAACCACAGAGTAACTGCTTAGAAGTTTGCTAAAAGTTTGTTTTGTTATTACCTAACGTATTTATTGTTTGCAACATTTATAATTTAAAAGAATACTCCATATCTGCTTCAGAAGCGCGGGTCTGGCTAGTACGTTAAAGTGAAGATATTTTAAATTGTGAAGTTGAAGCTTTTTTGATAAAAGCTTAGATAAAATGCATTAGTTTACATTCTCAATTCCACGAATATAGGTAAGATTTTGTGTGTTCCCGTAGAATTCCGTGTTCAGTGGACCGTGTCACCTGACGGCTGAATGCATAGAGGAAATTAACAGGTTAAGGTTGGGGTCATCGCAAAAAGCTTGGAAGTGGGAAGTCTGTGTGTGGTTACGCTGTGGTGGCTAGCGTCGCGAGCGGCGGCGGTGGTGGCGGCGGGTACTCCGGCCGGCCGCGACAGTCCGCGCGCAGAGTCCGGCGCACGCGCACGCGCCGCAGCGCCCGAGAGATGTCGCGCTAGCGGCGCGCGCCATGGTGTATCCCGAGCCAGCCCGCTGGGGCGCGCCCGACGCCGCGCTCGCGCCCCTCTACGATGACGTCTACCGAGGTCAGCTGACATTTGCAAGTTGCAACCTCCGATGCATCGCCCTTTGTCTCTGTGCCCCTTCGCAATTTCTAATCTCACGATAACTCCTTCGGTTGCGCTCATTAATTTTTTTCAAGTTGCACACGTGAAAGCTCCATAGTTGTAGCTTCTCGACTTAACGATATTGATGGAATACAGTTTCTCCTAACGTCCCTGCGGACGGACTCAGTAGTGGAGTATGGACAATATGCGAATTTATTTGTGTATGTATACTTATATTTCAATAATACAAATAGAATGTGTTTCGTTAACTTTCGTTAAAATAAAAGTAATTTTTTATAGATTAAACTTAACTTAGTCAAAAGGATGCTTTTTTTATTAATTTAAAACTAATAACACCCTTTGCACAGTTTGATTGAAGAAAATACAATATTTATGTAGGCGCGCCTCTCTCGTTAGTGCGAATTCGTCTAAATGTAGAGTTAGCAGCCTTTGTCTCGGTACCGGTTGGTTGAGTCATCTCGTGATTGATCGGCTGAACCTGTATTAAAAATGGGATCAAAGCGCTGACAGACGCTGTTGCCGATCAGCTGATTGACTGCCATGCATTTACGTGACGCCCCCATTCATTAATATTGTAATCGAATACTCGTGTTATTCATGATAATAACCCTTTACTGATTTTTAAAACGAAAACGCTTTCATTTTCCAAAATACGCAAAATTATATTATAATACAAACTTAAAAGAAATTTCAAATGTGAAAACTGTAGACAAAAAAAAATATTTCATAACATTTTCGAGTGCTTTATTGAAGGTCATAGAAAGATTTGGTATCAAAGTAACTTGGTCTTTTCACTTCCGACAGCTTCAAACTTAGAATCCATCATCACAATTATCCATAGGTGATTCGCAACAAACGACCCCCCGTCCCTTGAGGAGCTTTTAAACATTACTGTTATGCTATCAGCGTTTAGTATTGTCTTCATACGTCGTTGAAGGTTCGTGAAACGGTGTTTTTATCGGTAATTGAGCAACGAGCCCAGTCGGCTTTATAGAACTCAATTAAACGTTCCAAATTGAACTGTCTTGAGTAAATTCAAATGGAGCTTTTACTGCGAGCTGTTTACGAGCCACGATAAAGTTGGCGTATGTGAGTCTTGCTTATCCGTTATATTCTCGCGACTGTTAGGGTAATCAGAAAGATATTAAGATTTTACCATGTTACAATAAAATAAATAAAATTATAATAAATATTTCCAACACTCACACCAATTAGCCTAGCACCAAAGTAAGCACTGTAAGGCTTGTGTTATGGGATGCTAGGGTAACGGATAGAATACATATACTGTACATATATAAGTATATGTATATAGAAATACGTATTAAACATCCATGACTGGAGTACAAATGCTCGTATTCATCATACAAACATCTGCTCCCACCGGGATTCGAACCCATGAAACCCGGCGTACAAACCACTCGGCCACGGAGGTCGTCGTCGTCGTCAAATGTATTGTTTGGAAACTTTTAATTTTGTATTGAAAGCATTATAACTGCGCTAATGGCTAAATTTCTCATATATCCCAAACGTTTTCTTTGAATGTTATCTTTAACAGTTTGCTGTATGTATTATATGCATTAAATGATTTTTTATTATTTATCCAACATAAATTTTTGCAGCCCGCATAGCGGGAGATGCGGGTTCGAATCCCGCCTGGAACTTGAAGCGACTGCAATTTTTTTCTAGTAATAATTTCATTACATTTAAACAGTCTAATAGGTTTTTCAAATAAATTGTTGAATGTTTATTTTAATAACTAACTATTTGAATAACTTTGTAACTACATATTGACTAAACTTCTCAAGACGCCCTTTTGTGTGGTGCATATTCATAAATAAATTATGATGCCGGCAAAACAAGCAACAGGTGAAAAGGTCAGGTTCAAATAATAATTTTAAAAATATGGTAAACTGTAGCGTTTTTAAAGATTTCTTTGAAATTTCAATATTCCATAAATCTCTTATATTATTCTGATCTCAGTTTTGAACAAAATACCTGGAATAGATTTTTTATATTGTCCATTTTCAATATTGTGAAGTCAACAGAGACTCTGTGGCGTTGAATTTTATTGCAAAAGCGAACGAATTTTCGTATTGTATTTTTTTAATTTTGTGTATTTTTGTTGCATTCCCTCCATTTTGTTGCAAATCATGTTTTCTCTTTTATTATTAACCTATAATATAGAATGTAATCATTAAAAAAAACCACATGTTGATTTTCTTCGACACGTCTTTAACGATTTAGTAAAGATCACCGCTCTAAAATTCGTTTAACACTTTTGATGCGTATAATTCTTGAAAGAGAGCTGCATGCCCATTTACGGGGAGAAAATCGTAATTTCGTTTAACGCGTTTATAGATATGTGGTTAGACGGCTACGAGCAAAAAAATCATATCGGATTATGTAGTAGACGCTATTAGGTAAGAATTGAGCACACTCTCTCAGACATAATGTTGGCTAGGAATTTCACTTACGCGGCTGGTCCCGACGGCGGCGCGTAGGCGATACCTACGAAACCGTTACTTGGGGGTGGCACTACCATAGATCTCTGTTTGGATAGCTTTCATAGACAATTGTGCTGTCCTTTATTACTTAAAGGTGATTTATTTATCATCATCCATCATTGTGGTACCAGATTTGAGCTCTCTTTGCAACGATTAAAAGATAACCAACAACTCATCTAGGTAAAGGAATGAAACATCTAATCTCATGTGTAATATTATGCGATCTCTATAACCGTTCCTTAAAAAGGTGATTTAAGAAGGATTTTTTGAAGTCGCTAATAAAACAGATCTAAGAGCAAACAAGTGTTACCTTTATGAAAAATTCAAGAAACATTGCAATGCAGAATAATTACCTACGAATTTATGTTACCCAAAAAAAGTCTATCTTAAAGGTTTTGAAAACCTATCTCAGAATCCCTTTTCATTTCATTTTGATTTCTTTGCAAAGTAACAAATAAGAACGAAGAACAAATACAATCAAAGTCAGAATCATCCTCACAGGAATGAGTGGAAGCGACGTGTTTGCCTAATTTGATATAATATTTACGAAACAGGTGCAAAATATGGAGTTCTGTATATTTTTGCAAATAAAATACCACCTACCTACTTATTTATGGCTGTGCGAAGGAGTATTTCCCCACATGATTTACATCGGAACAGCGAGAACAACAATACGAGCTATACATATTTAATGCACGCGGGATATTTTTAGCCCTGCAAGACCACAAGCTCGAGTCGCAATGACGCCGACCGACCAACGATCCTAATGCGAACCAAGAAGGTTTATGAGGTTGTGAAATTAGTTGTTTTATTTAAATGTTTTTTAAAGGAGGGAAACAAAAAGTTTTTATTGCAATGGGCTTCATTCTGGCATGTTTCTACAGAGTCAAAATTTAATTTCACGGACATCTCTAATTTTTGGTCCTCTTCTTTTTTTGTTATAAAGAGCAGAATAGCGATATATATATCTACTATCAAATTTAGTTTTATGTTCAGAGACGTACAGAAGGTACCCACTCTGTTTTGTATTCAGAGATAATGCCAAAATCAGGCGCAATGGCTTGCTTTGTTGTAAGGTCTGCTCGGGGATTATAGGATTAGTAAATTATTTAAGACAGAGTCGTCGCCCAGTCGCCACCTTCAAAAAATAGAATCATTGTATTGTTAAAAAAAATGTATACAAGTCTGTTGAAGTTCATGTGAATTACGACATTTCCAGGACATTACGAAGGTCGTCTTTTTCTAATCTGGTCACGTATTTGCGTGAGAATCTTTGAACAGTCATGCCAACCATTTTACATTTAGTTGGGTCTAAATAAATACTAAAATGTGTCAGTTTAAATAATACATTAAATATTTGAATAACAAAACTGTCCCCCATGGGGAATGAAAAAGAGATCTGATAAGTACTGAATAATTATTATCTACATTAAAATACTGTTTAACAAGTGTTCATGAACGGACTCGCAACAACAAGTATGAAGACTTGTTTATTGAATATGTCGTTAGTTACACTTGCGATGAAACTTCGTATACAGGTAGCCTACAATAATACGTTTTTTCTGAGGCCCTGAAAAATTTGTTACAGGTTACCGAATTACTCATATCATTTGCATCAAATGGAGAGCAAACAATTTTCAAATATCTCCCAAATATATTTTGTAGTTATTTCTAAAAGTTCAGGTCCTTTGTTAATGTTTGTCAGCACCGTCAATATCGAACTTCTAATTGTAGCCGATAAGCCAATGAGACTTTAATAGGTGACCATCAATCATCGCATAGGAATAAAAAAGGGTGATGCCACCAACTTGTCACCGAATAGTTTAAACTGTGCTCTGATGGGAAATCGATGCGTGGTGGGCAGGCTTCGTCGGTGCCGCATTTAAATGGATTTGATTGATGACGCGCCTACGCGATTGGTAGACGCTGACGTTGTTTATATGGTAAAGCTCCTAATAACGGCAAAAGCCGTGGGCGGATTTATCAGTAGTCATAAGCCATTAACAGTTGCGAATCTGCCTCATAAATTGTTGCTATAATTAAGAATAAAATAAAAACCCAACGTATAGAGTGTTCTTGTTAAAAATCTATCGATTATGTTCAAAGATCCAATCGTCTTTTTATGGGATTTCTATTTGTTATTTTTAATGATTACGATTAATGATGATGGCGACCTCCGTGGCCGAGTGGTCTGTACGCCGGGTTTCATGGTGTCGCCGACTCGAGAGGTCCCGGGTTCGAATCCCGGTGGGGGCAGATGTTTGTATGATTAATACAAGCATTTGTACTTCAGTCATGGATGTTTAAGAAACGGTAGTTTTAAAAACTGTGTTACATGGTGGTTCATAATTTGACCATTGTTTTGGTGTTTTAATAATGAATATAATCAACATACTTAAGGTACATTCATGTCTGTCACAATATCATGTCTCTGGTGCTCCGTCAACCCCGTAAGGGATTTATGGTGTGTCGTTAAGTATGAACAAATAAACAGAGTGCCTCTTTTACAAGTGGCGTTAATGTACTCTTTGTTTTAGTAATGGTATCGAGGCTCGTTCGAAAGTCTTTGGAACTCTCTAGATTTGTCGTCAGTCGGCGCCGACGCCGCGCCACCGTGTGAAAAACGTGTAAAGCTATAATGAGAAGCTATTAATCAATTTTATTGTAAGCCGTACACGGTTTTCGCCAAATTTCTTTTCGCGGTTTATCCATTTTTCTCTCGATATCGCATCTAATTTATTTTCAATATGGTTAGGTTAAGTCGTTTGTTTCTTTTATGTTGAAAATAAACTTTTTATGTTAATAGAAAAATTTTGGTGCGTCAATATTTTTTTACCTGTACATGTTTAAATTTTTTCATTCATACTTTAAACATTCAGGGTTAACTATTTATATTGTTTAAAGGTACTTGACGTATCCGATGTTTTATTATTATAATTTTATTTAATATAACGTCTAATTTATTAGTTTTAAGTCCACGTGTCTTAGATCGTTAGATCTTAGATCGATTATAATCCGAAAACAAATAAAAAAGGAAAATAAAATTACTTTTACATAATTTTACACACTTGAAAAAATATTATTGTTCGTTATGTTTTGTGCGCGGAAGTGATTAACTATAATAAGTTTCATTGAATACTTAAATTGTGTAACTCTCATAGAAATGGCTTCTTCGATAAGGAAAGAAGAAAGGGTAGGGAAGTAGGATGTGTATACCCAACCTACCGCATGGAGCTATAGTTGCGGCGTATGAAGACCGTTTTGACACATAACATTTGAAAAAAACTAATATAATCAAGTGCGAATCACATCTAGATATTTTTGATGTGTAACATCTTTCCTCTCGCTTTCGTGCAATTTGAGGGAGTGATTACGTGAAGTGGGACGGAAGTGCGTAACAGGAAGTTTGGGAAGCGCGCGCTATTTGATTTGATTTATTTTAGAACATAATGTTCAAATAGCTTATTGTAGTAGATTTTCTTTCCTTTTTTACTAATAGGTCAGGTGAGGTTTCAAATGTTACACATCAAACGCGACCACTGGTAGACTCGCTCGTTTTTTTTTCAAATTTTCACCAATATTGCAAGAAGTTGCTGATTATAAAGATTGAATAAAAGAAAACATTTTACTCACGCTCACGATCCTATAAGTAGCAATATTATTGCTTACATGTTTTTACATTTTGTTTTAAAAAAAATGCAAATGCCGAGTTGGCATGTTGGCAGTGATGTGGCGAATATGTACAAAATAATTAAATTATTATTTGTATGATTTAACAGTTCTATTCTTCAATGATAATAACAATAAAAAAAAATTACCGTCCCGTCTGCTGCCTGGTCCGCGTCGATTTTTTCTTTAGATTTAAAAATCTAGCAGTTAAATGCTTTAAAAATAAAAACAATAATTTAATTTACTTAATCCTGTTTAGATTCTGTAATATATAAAAAAAACTAAATCAAATTCAGTTTTAATGTAAAAATTATATTATAATTATTTTAAACTTAAAAAAAAAGTTTTCAGCACCATAATATTTAATTAGAACATAATATAATAAAGTTTTGTAAAATTCTGCGCCCTAAAATTTACGATTCGATAAATTTTATCACTAAATGCGCGTCACTGATGACAATGAAGATCAATAATTATTATTTCTTTCAAATTTAGAACTAATTTCAAATTTCGAATAGGCGCACAATCGTCAAAACGGCCATCATAGTGTTCCTTTACTATAGGAAAACTAGCTTCCCGCCTCGAGTTATCTTTCTCTGCATTGGCATACTTTCTCTGTGTCCACATAGTTGATACAAAATACAAGTAATGTCAGCAGTTATACATTCTCATTGTTCGAATGTTAAGTCGCAAGTAAAATTTACCGGAACCCGTAATAACAGCGCACCGGCCGAGCAAAGTACCGACATACGGGTTTCGGTGGGATAATTGCTCCACCGTCAATAAGCCAGCTTCGAGGTCATCTTTATTGACTCGCCACGCGATACTTATTCGCTTGTAAAATATCCAGTATCAACATTGGGTGAAACAAATATTTATATTATACCTACCTGTATTCAAAGCTTCGTGCCCCTCTGGGAGGTCTGGGGGTGGAAAGAGTATCAGAGATGCGACATGGTGTGACAAGTATAAAAGCAAGTAAAATAAAACAATTGACGACAGCGAATTTTTAAATTGCTGAGTATTTAACTTTATGTGTGTATACCTACATCTGTTCTATTAATTTAACTGGTATTAATGTGTACGAGTTTCGTTAAATAAATTGCCTCAAATTATGAACACTTTATTGTTAATGTTAAATATGACGAATCAAAACTATGTTCGAGATTAACGCTGTTAGAATACTAATTCATATAGGTTCTTTATAACTAATTATAGTCGAGTTGTCTTGCTATTAGGGTTTTAACAGACTCAGTCAGTGAGTGATGTTTGGTATTTAGTCAACCTGTTGACTAATTAACAAATATTACTTGATTGTTCCGATTTAGGAAGGTTTCATCATTATTCTGCTACTGATTATTATTATTATTCTGCGCAACTTGTTTGAACTCGAGTGCGATATTGTATGTTACTCTTAAGATATCTTCTTGCTGGTCCCAAACTTAACTAGAGCATGGATATCAGTTTTCAGTATTACGGAAATATGTAAATTTATATAAGCTACAATACCCTTTTTAACATACTCGTTTTCTTTTCTTTTAAAACCGAAAAATACTGAAATACCGATTTGCCTGTATTAAAAATTAAAATACATACCGGTATTACAAAATCCTTCCGGTATTCCATGTTCTTCTCTTGACTGTGTGATTTTAAATCTTGTGTTTTCATCATTAAGTGTTGTATAAGTGACACTTAAGCTAACATCCTTGGTTGCAACAAGGCAGCATCATCAAAATGCATTGTTTATAACTAATTTACATAACACGACACTACTACGAGACAAGAATTATTTAACAACACCCGAAATGTCAAACGATGAAGTAAAATACGGTAGTGCAGCATTTCATGTGTATCTTATCTTCGAGCATGTCTTTGGGTCTCCTATAATAATTTTTACATTTGTAACCAAGCTTGTTAATTTAGAGTTATAAAACTTTAGTTCCTGGTCGATAAGTCCCTATTACTTTATTGTTAATTAGAAAAAATAATTAGTGGCTGTATCCAGCTGATAGTCTATAGTTTATAGTTTTTGTACAAAGCTCAGCTAATTCCCAACTCCACCACGATGTTAGTGTGAGTGGAGATATGTTAAGAAGATAGCTGGATACATGGCCCACTAGTAACCTGCTTCTTTACAAAGTCCAAAGCTTGTCCACAGACTCTCTGGAGCTTTAGCGAACTTATCCATTACAAGAATATAATGTAGACTTGCATAAGTTAGAGGCTATCCCTGAAGAAATCCTTAGTGTCATCCTCTTATAAGTTCTGTTGGTATTTTTTGTGCAGCGGACGGTGTGCTGTCGACAGTAAATGTGGTGGAAGCTCTCCAGGAGTTCTGGCAGGTGAAGGCGTCGCGGGGTGGGGGAGGGGGGGCCGCGGGTGGGGGAGGCGCCCTGGTCATCTACGAGTCGGTGCCTGCAGCGCACCCCCCATATGTGTGCTACGTGACGCTGCCAGGCGGCGCGTGCTTTGGCAGCTTTCAGGTACCTTTTGACGAAATAGTTCCTCCTCCTTTTTTATAAACGTCCTCAGATTACAGAAATAAAGGCAGATAGAACGCAAGGAATATACATTGCGTGCCACCAAAGCAAATCCAAATTTAAAGGCGATTGGTATTCGCTTCGCCGGTACGCTAGTAGAAAGAAAGTAGAATTTGTATATTTGTTGGTTGCGTGCAATGCATATTCCATGCGTTCCATCTGCCTTAGCTCTGTAATCTGAGTAATCAGCATTATCAGCTTTATTATTATAGGGGATATTAATATATCCCCACTGCTAGGGTACAGGTATTCCATATGGATTGAATAAAGAGAGCGAGCCATAACCATGACCAACCACGCCCGATGCCGATTGGTGAGTGCTAAAAACTGCAGATGCAGCTGGGACCAATGGCTTAACGTGCCTTCCGATCTAGGGTGTGTTTAATAACGCCTACCCACTAGTCCTGCCGATCCTAGTACTGTAAGACCAGGGCACCCTTATGTTACAAGCGTGAATCCTTATTGAGCTCAGGGCTGGACTAAACTTTGCAGTTTGAAATGTCGCTATTATGTGTTCTCCTTAGATATGTTTAGTTACTTTTTGTTTTTCTACAACCATTGACTACACCAATTAGCTCTTTATAATAGAAAACATTCCAACATACTATTCTATACAGAGATGGCTGTGTGGTGTGATCTTTATAGGTTGTTTAATGTTTTAGGAATCTACTAAATAATAAACTAAAGTCGGCTTAATTGAATAGCGTAGACGTAGTACGGGCGTTCAAACCGTTGTGAATTATTTATTTACCATGAGTTCTCTATGCTTCAGGTAGTATGTTAGTTCCATTGCTGACTAGGGGTGTATTGTGGGTTATGAGCAGTCTGTACTAGCAATGCTAAAGCTTAGTGATACGAAGCTTAATGTCTCCAATGTATTCCATTTCATTGAGACCGACCTTCGACTAGGGTGTGCACCTAACGGTAATTGTTGTTCCACCTACAACGGTGGAATTAATCGGTTGTTCTAGTGGAAACAAGCGCCTACAACTCTACACAAGACAATAGCTCTACGATTGCAATCACGAAGCTATTGTGAGGTTGTGTCGATGTAAAGTCTTTCTTGGATTTAATCCTTCGTTAATATAATTGTAACACAATTATCGTAAGAAAATAGGGAAGATAATGCGGGCACTATTTTATTTGTGACCTATGAGCTATCTACGAGCTGTTTACATTTGTATGTCAAATGAGTAATTAATGAAACGCCGCTTGGAAGTGAAAACTTTACAAAGTTATTTTCGCATTTATAATGACGATTGCATTTTTTGAAAATATGTCAAAATAAACTCGCCTTGGCGTCGTAGACAAGTACCTAGCCACCTTTCTGTTCGTGCGAAAGCTAATTGCCTTGTGGTTTAGATATAAACTGTAAAATTATGTGGCGCAAGCTATTCAATTTCATATTTGATACATTTAAAGTACTAATTAAGTTAGCAGTATCGTTCAAACAAATAAGGTTTCACTCGCATAAGACACTCGTACTGCCATTTGAAGTAATACGCACTGTAGTTACACGCATTGTGAAAAATAAGACTGGTGATATACATATCTAATTTCTCTAACAATTCCTCCAGCAACCATTGCTGCTAAAGTACTTCATGGCTGGATTAATATAGATTTAGGAAAAACATCAAGTTGCACGATGCCGAGTTTGGTTTTCGACCTGGGGCCCAATTCTCGCGGCATAGATATTATATCACCTTCGATATATATCGAATGATCTGGCTTTTATCGAAGGAAAACCTTTTTGCCCTATTCTCACCATGTCGCAATAGATATTTATCTACGGATGATCAGTAGACATACATCGACTGGTAAAGAGCCTTCGATATATAAATATCTATGAATCTTGGCATGTCAATCTTGTTATTTCAACTTTTTTTACCTATTATTTATTGTGTTGTCGTGTGTCATTGCCAATTATTGTTACCTCAAGATGTTGTTAACTGCCTTCATAAATAATTAGTAAATAAAGAAATAGGTAAACAATGGTGTCGATTCTGGCGTGATTCTCTAAACTTAAAACTAAATTTAAGTCTCTCTTTTTCATTCTGTATAGAGAATGACAAAGAAACACTGTTGTCAAGTTTAAGTTTAGATTTAGAGAAACGTGCCAGAATCGACACCAGTTTATATTAACGATGGATGAGTTGATTCATGTTTTCGTCAATGATTTAATAAATGACGTGAAAACTTCCCTGAAAAGGGAGAATTTTAAATAATATTGACGTTTCATTATACATAACGTTGAAATTTTAAACGCATACAATTTAGGTAACGTTGAGATTTCTTATACTCAAAAAATGTATACTCATATTTAATATGAATGGAATTCATAAAATATAAAATATCATTTTGTTGCTTGTAAAATTCTGCTCTAATATATTATTATTTTATATAGACTATGATATTAACTTAATCGAGAAAAACGGAACGCTTTCGGCAGTGAAAGAATATCTACGATAGATATAATATCATTGGAATATCGAAAATCCACGAGAATAGCATTTTTTACCATCAGTAGATATTTTCAATAGATATCCCTACTTTCGATATTATCTCAAAGCCGATATAATATCTACGCCGCGAGAATTGGGTCCCTGGGCTGTCTACTGAAAGTGCTATTCTGGGTCTCAAGCAAACTGTCCAGTATTTTAACTTGTCGAAAGCTTTTAACCGTGGCGAAAGCTTCGACGGAAGACGAGAGTAGCGAATGAAATCACTAAGCTACTGGAATATTGGTATCATAAATCACACCAATGTGTATCCGAGCCATACAGGTTAGAATGCAAGGTGAGGAGGAGGAGTTAAGCTGACCTCGTTAATTCAAATTGTATATCAATGATGTTATTGAGGAGCATAGCAGCGCCAATGTTGGTTGTGCTGGCTGTCACATAAATGGGGTTTGAATCAACAGTATCAGTTACTCTGATAATATAGTTCTGTTGAGATCATTAATTAATGCTTTAAGAAAAATGTTTCGCGTTTGTCAAAGGTTTGCGGAGGTTCATGGAGTATAGTTAGAATGCTAAAAGAAGGTGAGGTGGTGGTTTTTAAGGCTGGTATGAGAGTGTATAACTAATTCTATGAGCAGGCGCTCCTTTTAATATAGTGTCGCAGATTAAATACCTTGGTCACTGGATCACCACACTTTGAATGACGATCTGGACATTGTGAGGGAACGCAGGTGGTGCTGGATTTACGCTGTAATATGCTGGTTCGCAGATTTGCACGTTCTACAGGAAAGGTTCAGGCGATGCTTTCTAAAGCAATCTGCCAATCTTTTTAGACTTGCAGTGTGTGGGTCTGGTATACACAGCGGACACAGAGCGCGCTGCGAGTACTATAAAATAATAGTTTCAGGATGCTGTTCGGGTATTTGCGGTTTTGTAGTGCTTCGGCAATGTTTGTGGACGCTCGTGATGATGGCTTCCATGCTATAATGCGGAAGCGTTCTGCATCATTGTAGCAAAGGATGCGTAACACTCTAAGTAGCATTCTGAGAGAAGTCGTTGACGGGTGGGATTATGAGACGCTGGAGTTTATCCAGCGTGCACTCAAAATAACTTTTATATATATCGTATTTTAGTTTGTTTCAGTTAATTTTAATAAAAAAATATGAAGTTTTATACACACTTACTCTTAAATAAAGTTATTATTATAAACATAAAGGAGGAAGCTTGTATTATTTAAATGAGAAAAAAGAATAACTACAACTATCCAAGAGACATTGCGGAAATGATCATTTTATGTATCGACCCGACTGGGAATGTGCGCCTGACCTTAGCATTTGACGACTACGGAGAACGTAATAAAATTGTTTGTTTGTTCCCAGAACTGCCCAACAAAAGCTGAAGCGCGGCGCAGCGCAGCGAAAATAGCGCTGATGAACAGCGTGTTCAATGAGCACGAGTCGAGGCGCATCTCGGAGAATTTTATAGAGAAGGCGGTGGCCGAAGCACGCGCCTCCTTCGCGGGCGACGCGGCGGCGCACCACCAGGACCCTAGCGCTGGCATCGCTGCTTTCAGGTAACTTACTGGATTGAATCATCAGGATTTGATAATTTTAAAAGTAAGATTAATAATATACTATTTTCTTAATTAAAAACCATTTTGTAATGAGGACAAAGCAAACAGGTTATGAAGGATAGCGATTTACGAACAGGTAAAAGTCAAAGAGTATCGAAAATTGTTGGAGAAGAAAGATGAAGTTAATGGAAGACATTTTTATTACCAGCTGCATGGTTAATATGTATTACAAACGTAAGATATGACAAGTATCAAGGGAAAACAATCCTTCTGAGCAATAGGCATGACTTATTATTTTGTAGTACAAAATGAGAGATTCCAAGTTCTGAAACTGCAATGTATTGTTTGTCCACAGATTTATGTTAGAAGCGAACAAAGGGCGGACGATGCTGGAGTTTCAAGAGCTCATGACGGTGTTCCAGTTGCTGCACTGGAACGGCTCGTTGCGAGCGATGCGCGAGCGCCAGTGCTCGCGGCAAGAGGTGGTCGCACATTACTCGGCGCGCGCGCTTGACGACGCTATGCGCGAACAAATGGCGCGTGAATGGGCGGCGCGGGAACGCGAAGCTGGCGCGAGCGGAGGCGTGATCCGTGCAGAGCTCGCGAGAGCGGAACGTGAACTTCGCGCTGCTCGCCTTGCCGCTCGCGAACTTCGCTTCCCAAAGGAAAAACGTGACATCCTCCTCCTCGCCGCTCGCCTAGCTCCACCCCAGCAGCAACAGTGATCTCACAGCACGCGTCCCCCTGTTATTTAAGTACCTATAGTCTTACCCCTTTATTCATAATTTCCACTGAGTTCAGTCCATTATCTCTTTTAACTACGAATCGTACTGAAATGTACCTAATTATTAAGTAATTCGTCTCATCCTAGTGAGAATAATTTCTTTATTAAGTCGGTTGCTTTTTATGAATAATGGGGTCATAGTCCTAGTTAATTAGTATTTCATTTAGACCCCGATTCCTTCTTTAGTTTTAGTTATACTTTAGTCATTATGGAACGTAGGAATAGGCTGAAAGTCTCTAAAAAATTGTTAACTTTAAAGTATACATCGCGTTCGATTTGGATTTCTGATTTTCATAATAAGATAATCTATTGTAAGATTCCCAGAATATTATTTTTTTAAGTTTAGTTGAAATGATAATTGTTTGAAATTAATAAATGATGTTTGGTAAAAATGTGATTTGAATTTTCCCATCTAATTGATTTCCCTTCGCCCTACTCACGGCAGTGCTCAGCGGAAATGGAAAATAGCCCTTGAGCGTTTCTTATGAGGAAAATATTCTCAACAAATGGTGACGCAATTCCATTCAAAACTTTACTCGACACAACAGGGCCGTCCTTTGTATTAAACTGTACCTACATTGCTGAATGAAAAAGGTTTGTGTGGGTCAGGAACGTACTGTAGTTCATAGGTAGATTTTTTTTTATTCTAGGTTTAATGATGACACATTTAGATTTGTGTGTATTGAGCGTTACATTCAAGCCGTTGTAGTTACATAGTGTTTCGACCTGTAATTCTATGGAACATAGGATTTCGGTAATACAGTTTATGACTGGGTTGAATGTCAGAAGTTGGTATTTATTTAGTAACAAACAATAAATTATTCTTCCGTTATGATTTTATTGTTCATGGAATAGGTTTAGTCATTATGATGGATGGTATAAGAAAATGTCTCCTGTTATATAACAAATGTTATTACCTTTTTAAAGTTCCGTATGAACTGTATCCTTCGAACTGTAGATTTGAAATTTACTGAGCACGCGCGTTCCTCACGAGCATAACATATGAACCAGCCATCGCTTCACTCAACCACATTTTAGGGAATGTCACTACTCACCTCCGATGACACCACCGCAGAGATATCAAAGAGAGCATAATTCTTACTACCTATAAAACTGAAAGGGGAAAAAAAATCCAATTAAAGAACCTGTCGTCGTGATCTTTATTGTTTTTGAGTACTTATTTATTTGCTTTGTACTGATAGAAAACCCTGTAAAGTACAAAATAAGTAATAAATCAAAACCGTGTTTTAAAAACAAAACCACTAAAAAGTAAGAAATAATATAGTTCTTTACTTACATATATCTAAAATACATTTAAAGTCAAATTAACATTTGGTGTTGGTGCCAAGCAATAAACGGTGATTCAGATCTATCAACATGCTTGGAACATGTTTTGTTTATATGAAGTCGGTTTTTGATTTTGCTAAAAAAGTTTTTATTTCTACTTTTTATAAGCGAGAGTAACATTAAATTACTAAGTATAGGTTACCTGGTCTGCATTATTCCTTTCATATCTCTTAAATAAAATAACCAATCACGAATTAAGTACTGTTTGCAATTGAGGACTTTCATTGTTTTCTCCGAAAGTACTCATCAGACCTTCACCAAATCTACATGGGACCATTTCGACAGAATATTGATTCAAACAAACAAAATATTATTGCTTGCCCATGTCTGAAATGCGTGAACTGATGATACGCAAGCAACAATATTAAAAAAAAAGAACAGTAACATGACTTAGTTTAGTGTATTTACACTTATATTAAAATTTATCGGAACCATTTCTTAAATAAACACGTGGGCCGTCTGAAAACGAGTTTTCGACATAATTTAGACGCCTGCTACTTGAATGTCGTTGGAGTAAGTTCAATATCCATCAGTAACGTGCTCAATACAATTTACTTTCGTCAATAAGCGAGCAAATTGAAGCTAAACCCTTATCGGATCTCTGTAACTATGTTACGTTACGTAGGTACTCACATTATGTCACATATTGCAATAGTTACGTTATTATGTTTCGGAAGCTACATGAAAGACGATTTTCTTTCTTCATAAAGGTCCCTAAATCATTTCATGTTTGCAAAATAAATATAGCGAGCAAAATTATACCTACAGAACGTGCGGTGCATAAATATGTGGAATTATGATAAAGTTATAACTTAATCGGGAACTTTAAACATTAACTGGAAGTTGGGTGTTAAGCACACAACTTCTCACCTACACATACGTATTCGCACACTGTTTGTATTTATTAAGTATTTATAATTTTCTCTGCCATATGAGAAAAGTGCTCGAATAGCTTGTGTAAGAATTATTCTATAATACATTTTTATTCTTTTAATAGTAGTGTTTCGTAGTCAACAAGAAACCCTTACAGATTAGCCATGTCCGTCACATTTCTTTGAATTACGGGGTAGATTCTCGTGGTGCCTTGGAACCTACGATATTAAAAACATAGTTCCTTGGAAACTTACCTACACTAGAAACACGTCGAGCAGTACACCACCCCACCACAAGGTAGTGTGGTGTACTGATAAGTAGACGTTACCTCCCCAAACAGGCAATCCAATTAAGTAGGAATATCCACTATACCCTACCACTCTTAACGTTTATATAGTTAAATATATATATGCGTTAGTAATAGAAATATAGCCTCAAAGTAAGTACTGTAAGGCTGCGTCATGGGATACTAGAAGAAAAGAATGCATTATACTGATACGTATATAAATAACTCTGAGTCTCAATTGTTCTAGTATATCTTAAAATGTCCAGCTTGCCATGCAATAACTTTTGGAGAAAAACAATATCCGCCACCATACGCCGTGCAGCCAGTGATGTCATATTATAATACTCAAGTCTACTTGCTTAAGAGTTTAAATAGCGATAACGGTTGTCTACATAGGTGAGGTGATATTAGAACCTTTTTTTGCAAAACTTCAATTCCATTTATATGAATTGAATAAGAAGGGCTCCAAATCGGACTGCAGTATTCTTGTTGACTGCAAACATAACAATTGAAAAGTGTGAAAGAAACTTCTGGATCTCGGAAACAAGAAAAATCCAGAAAATTTGGCACTCTTCTTCAATATGTGGTTGATATGTTCATGGAAGTCCAGTTTTTAATCCACAACAATTCCCAATTCACGTATGCTTGTAATTTCCTCGACTATGACATCATTAATTTTGTACGCAATGCTACCTGAAATCCTTTTTCGAGTAAATTTCATTTGAAAGCATTTGGAGAGATTGAGCAATTATTCTGGCGCCAGAGACTGATTGTGTTTAGATCTGGTTGGAGTATGGTTTTATCATCAATGGAGGATATCTCCCTATATGTCTTTAAATCGTCTGCAAACATTTTAAATTTGGAGATCAGCGTTGAACACTAGGTCATTTATTAAAACGAGGCTAAAAGGGGACCCAGATGTGAACCCTGTGGAACGCCTGATGGAACAATTTTAACTGAAGATTTGAAACCAAGAACAATCACAAGTTGAGAACGGTTTTTAGATATGACTAGCACCATCGAAGAAGAGATGCCCAAGCTTTTTAATGAGTATATTATGGTTGACCACATTGAATACCCTAGAAGAATCTATGTAAACAGCGTGTTCTTCGTTATTCCGTTCAAATGCCTCAGTAATATCGTTGATATAGATATCGACTAAAAAGATTTGACATTGTAGATCTTCTTGGCAGGAATCCATCATCATCATCATAAGCCTATTAATGTCTCCACTGCTGGGGCACAGGCATTTCCTATGGATGTAATAGGGAGAGTGGGCCATGACCCACCAAGCGGGCCCAGTACGGATTGGCGGGTGGTAACGACTGCAGATTCAGCCGGGAATAACGGCTTAACGTACCTTCCGAAGCACGGAGGAACTCGAGACAGTAAATTTTTGGTCACCCATCCAATGACCGACCACTGCGAAAGTTGCTTAACTTCAATGATCGTAGCGAAATGCGCTAACCACTTGCGCCATCGAGCTCCTCAATCCATGCTGTTGGCTATTTATTAAAGGTTTTATATGAAAGAAAAGTATTTTTGAACTAATGATTCGAAAACCTTGCTTGCCTACCGCTGATAAGATGGATTACGGATATAGGTCTGTAATTTGAAACGTCGTTAACTATAATGACGACTTTTTATAAACAGGAGTGATAAGGGCTTTTTGCTATAAGGAGGGGTAAGAAATTGAAGTGGCATAACAAGTTGAGACGCGCATGTTTTAAGAAAAATGGGTGGTATTGTATTAGGTCCTGATCCTTTGCTACTCGTAGTATCAAGAAGTTGGAGATATTTCAAAATGATTGCTTCGGATAAAGACCGGACAGGACCCTAGTGATGTATGCCATTCATCATCACTACATGAAGAAGACTTTTAAAAAATCTGTGAATGCAGTTATAGTTACTATTAAAAATAAAACGATGTCTCCTTTCAGTAAAATATCCTATCTTCAATATTTAATATACTTTCTCTCGGTGTGAGGTAGCCGTGGGACGCCCTGTATATATGGAGTTGAAAAAGTCTGCAAATAAAGAACTAATTTGTGGACTACCCTGAGCCATTTATTACCAAATAACATTTCCTCAGGTATTTCATTACTGTTGGACCTAACTGACTTTACTTTATGAATGTAAAAAAATGGCTTGGATTATTCTTAATTTGCGACTTAGCGTTATCCTTGAATTTAGAAAATCAGTGTATTATCATTTTATCTCAGCGAGTACGTAACATTTTGTAAGTGAGAAGGTCCCTTGCATTCTCGTATTTCGTATGATGTTTGTGGTACTTTGCTTTTTCTTTTAGGGCACGTATTGATGAACGGCTAAACCAACAAGGATAATCGTTACTACGTCTGGTAACTAGAGGCGTATTATTGGAAATTACAGGATTTAACAGCCTCGTCCACCTATTCGGAGTGCTTGAATTCCTTTCCCCAATTAGTATTATCTAATTCTTTTTTAATAATTTCGCAGTTAGCTTTTGAAAAATTAAGGCATGAAGATTTATTGCAAATTATTCGCTCATTGGTTTGGATATTGAGTGTGACATTTAGAGCAGGGTTATGTTTATCAATACTTACTAATGGCGTAGTACAGATTTCAACGGAAAAATGTTTAGAATTGTTAATTATGATTAAGTCATACGCACATCTACGTTAGGAATTGAATTGATTTGTTGTAGGATGCTATAAGACAGGGTATCTACAAAAATGCTCTCGGTCAAATTTTCGGGTTGACAAGAAAGACCCTTCTATTATGTTATGGGGTAAAAGTCGGTACATAAATAAACTCTTTGTTTTACAAAAGCGATGTATACGTATATTGGTGGATATAACAGACATGGAAAGCTGTAGACCACATTTCATAAAACTTAAGATACTTACTCTTCCATGTATATATAAGTATATATTTGAAATTAGTAAATAGTTAATTGGTGCGCTAAAATAGACATTTATATAAACATTTTAGTGATAC